CTCAGGCTTGGCCTCAATGGGCTCGTGTAATGGATTGTGTGGTATGGGAAGAAGGGTACACAAGAAACCAAGTTCAGAACTCCTCGGTTCAGGAGATACTTTCCTACGCTTGGCCCAGAGCACACAGCACAGCAACGGCACACTTTTGTCAGGAGGCGCCTCGAACTTTGTTCTGTGCAAGCAGGAGCAATGCCCCCGGTCTGGTGAAACTAAAGAGGAACTGCTGAACTGAAAGTAAGGCTAGTGCTATGCGTGGCAGAGCGAGCCAAGGCAAGCTGGCGAGCTTGTATTAGCAGTGCGTGCTAGCTATTAAGGGAGTGGAGGGTGGGTGCTCAAAATGCTGTCTGGGCCACGCTACGGAAAGTATGAACATGATGCAAGCATAGGACAAGCTATTCCAAAACATGCATGATAAAAGAAAAACATGCTACGTTCAGGAGATACTTTCCTACGCTTGGCCCAGAGCACACAGCACAGCAACGGCACACTTTTGTCAGGAGGCGCCTCGAACTTTGTTCTGCGCAAGCAGGAGCAATGCCCCCACTTTAGGTTCGAGCGCCTCTGTGCAGTGTGCTGCAAAATCCCCTTCCGCGTCAGAGGGGTGAGTACCTAGCAGTGCAGGGCAAGACAAATCTACCGCAGGGCAGTGGTGTTGCAAATGCTCAAAAAAAAACTGCGGAGCAGCTCCTTTTTTACGACGGTGCGACAGGGTGCTGTGCGGCTGCGAGTGCGTCGTGCCAAGCTGCCACCGGCGGGTGCAGAGTAATCACGCCCTGCGGGCTCGACAAGGCGGCCAGAGAGATGCGCTCTCGACCGGAAGTGCGCCTTGCAAAGCGTTGCAATTTGTTGCGGCTGAGCTCATCTGCCCATTGATTTTTCTCGCCTGCCAGGTGCGTGACTGCGAGCTCGACATCATGCCTGGCCGACCATGCAGCCACTTGCTTCAAAAACTGAGACAAAGGCTCTGTCGTGGTGAAAAGCTTGTTGACGCCTGCTTCGGCTGCGGTGTTGTCAGAGGCAGCTGGCAGTACGAAGCGGAAGTGCTTGCACTGCAGCCTGCGGTACGCTAGCATTGCCAAGGCAAGTTGTGCTAGCGTTTCGAAGCATGCAATGTATGCTTGTGCGTGCTTGTTGAGTGACGGCCAGTGCTTGCGTATTTCTGTCATTGACCAGGTTTCAGAAAACCACAGGAACTGCTGAGCTGTGCTAAGCCAGCCGCCGATGCCCACGGTCTCACCTTCTGCCATGGCATCTGCCGCGGCCATGCAGTGCAGGGTTGGAGCTTGGCGCATGGTGCGTAATTGGTCATGCGTGAAGCAGGAAAGGAGCCAGCGCAATGCTTGTCGGCTTTCACTGCGGAGATGCACTTCGGCGCGTGCTGGGTCGGACAGCCTGACCCATTGTGGCTTGTGCGAGGGCGGAACCACGGGTACGTCTTGCTTGCTTTCCACCTTCACTGAGCCTACTTCAAGTAGCTTGGAATTGGCTGTTACCCACATGCCTGGAGGCTGTGCAGTGACGACTGCGTCGTTTGAAAGGCTGTCCCGAAACCGATGCCAGTCCCTGGCGTGTATTTGGTGGAGAGCGCCGTTGCTGCTGTGGAGGTCTTTATATAGTGGCGCCAGGTAGGGCCGCAGGTGTTGGCACGCGCTGGTGGCCCACATTAGAAGTCCAAGAGAGCTTTCGAGGAACTTGCGTAGTATCTTTTTGGAGTTTGCGAGCTTGTTGAGCTGGTCTCTTAACTTTGCGAGTTTTGCTTGCACAAGGTGCAGGCATTCGAGGTCAAGGTGAAATGTCCACCCGCACCAAGTAATGGTGTTGCCAAGCTGTGCTTTGCGCCAGCTGATGGGAGCGTGCAGCGCGGACAGAAGGAAAACTATGAGCACGGCTTGATCTTCCCAGGAACTGCGTGCCAGCATGGCCAACAGGTCGTCTACATAAAGCCATGCCCTGTGACTGTGCTTGCTGAGAAGTGCATGCAGAATGCGTGTGATCTGGGAGCCAACGCGTTGCCACCAATACGCGCTAAATTTTGCTCCAAAGTGGCAAACGATGTAGTGGTAAAGGCGCTGCTGGAAACCAAACAAGAGACATCCGTGTTCGTGCGGGGAAACTTTCACGGATTTGCGCGCGGCTTTAAAGTCCAAAGACAGACCTACAAAGGAGCCAAATGCGTCGCAGTGCTGAAAGGTGCGCTGCACATCTAGTGCTGATGGCAAGCTGACCCTCTCAGGGACGGCGCAAAGCGTGTTGGCATTACAGATGGTGCTGTCGAGGACGAGCCGCGGCTCCTTCCCATCTGCTGTGACTATGTTAAGCTTGCCAATTGCTGAGCCTTGCGGCCAGCGTGCATGCACATCCTGCGCCGTGCCCTGAAGGGGGCTACCCAACCTGCCTGGATTTCCTTGTCTAGCAGATCAGACAGGAGTTGCGGGTTATTCTCGGCTTGCGTCCAATTGCCTTGACAATGTAACAGGTGGATGCCATCGAGGTCATCCTCTGTGCCTGAAGCGTGTCGCTGTTGCCATTGCATGCTCGATGGAATGCTCTGCAGGATGCCGGCAGGTACGCCTGCTTCAAGAAAGGATGACAGCGCTGAGTCCGGATCCTTGGTCCTAGCGGCCAAAGCTTGCAACAAGCCAAGTCGGAAGGGCTGGCCGTGCGAAATGCGCATGCACGCGGGATCTTGGCATTGTGGATGCAATGCGGCGTGTGCCATGTGAGCGATGTCCGACCCTGTGCTAGGTGGGAAATAATTTCATGTGTGAGGCGGTGTGTTTTGGCATATTGAAGCCACAGATCCGCAACGTCCTGCAGGCAGCTGTGTGGCTGTGCGTTGGACTTGTCTGCCGAGCTGTTGAGGCCTGCCTCATCACACACGGGTGGCCTGCGGTGCACTATCGGCTCTGGAAGTAAATTGGCGAAATCTCGGACGCTATATCGTTTTATGCCAGAGCTGGAACAAAAGGGGGCCATGAGGCTGGCAAGCTGCTGTGCCAGACTGGGAGGATACTCTGCTGTTAACGAGCTTACATAGATATTGTCGTGCTTGAGGCCTGCGATCGTCTTGTGGACGCCTGGTGCGTGCGTGCAGGTGCAGGCCAGGCTGGCGATGGACGGGAAAGACGCGCACATTGCCCAGGACTTATAGAAGTCCAAGCCATGCGCGCATGCTGCAACGTGCGCGCAGTGCGCTGCAACTTCGCGGAGGTATGTGACGTTGTCATGCTGGTTCCACGCCATTGACGACGGAGGCTGTTCCATGCCTGTATGCCCTCCCGCGTCCTTTGCTGCGCGAAGGACTTGTCTGGATCTGCTGTGTGTCTCTGAGCTTGCGTCGACCCTTGCTTGCTCCTCGGGCGTGTTAGACGGAACCCCGTCCATGCATGCAGGCGTGCGGAGTGCTTTAGGGCCGGGCTGGCGGAGCTTAAGGATGCTGAATTCTTTGCAAGGCGGAGCAGACCACAAGCACCCAAGAATGCCGCTGGCGGACACTCGCAATGCCAGCCGAAAGTGCGTGTCGTCCAAGATGTTGAACGCGGGATCGGACTCGAGGTCGAAGGGCTGCAGGCAGTCTGCACGCAGTGCTTCCATAGCAGTTGTAAAGTGGAGCGTGCTTGCCTGCAAAAAGGTCAAAGAAAAGCCGGGGCGGGCCGTGCGGCTTTGCTGGCGTGCTTGAGTTGCTGGAGGAGGTGCTTGACCTGCAGCTGTCAGAGCTTGGTAGGCGTCGCTTAGGCGGAGCATTCGTGTTGGTCTCAGGTGCCTGATGGTGCTCGCAGTGCGTACCTTGGGTTGGTGAGGAAGTATCAACACGGGTTAGGGATGTCGAGGTTGTTGCTTGCGGGTTGATGTGCTTGCTTGCAGGGGTTAGGGAAGATGTGCTGACACGGGTGAGGGATGGCATAGTGCTGTGCTTGTCGCGTAGCTAGTGCACCTGAGGCTGCGTGCGACGCAGGCTCGTGCTGTATTGGCGCATTGCAAACAAGACCTGTAATGGCATGGGCTGCGGCCTCCAAACACGGGTTAGGGAGGGGTAAATGCTGACACGGGTTAGGGACAAGCTGCGAGGCAGTCGGTGTTGCTGAAACGCGCGGTGGTGGTTGGTTTGATGCGCAATGCGCCTGAGAGGATGCCGGCTGGGCAGCGGCTTGGCGAGAGTGCGGGATGTGATGGCTATCCAAAGGGCGCGTCCCGCCCGCCCTCTCTGGAGTGTGTCAGGTGCTGGGTGGAGGGGTGCCTGCTTCGGGCTTGTCCGCTGGTGCTTTGAACCTGTGTTGCGAGGCCGGATGTTTTTGCCCACAAGCCTGTCCATTTGGAAGCTTGATGGCACAGAGGTGTGCAAACTTGCAATTTGCGTTTGTGCAGGACGTGCGGTTGAAGCGAAGACAAAGCGTCTTGTTGCCATGCTTGAGTTGCAAGTTGCGCATGGCCTCTGTTATGGCCCCCACCTGAGAGTCTTGCTTGAGACGAGTCTGCACCTTGCCTTTATTACCCCCGCCTTTGCCGTTGCCTTTGTTGCCTTTACCTTTGCTGGTGCGCGGGCGTGCGCGTGGCTGCAGCAGAGCGTGCACGTCTGCGCGGATGGCTGTCATCTCGTGCAATGCCTTGTCGAGACTCCAGCCCTCGGAGCGCAGGTTGGAGATCTCGTTCCAAAGTTTGCGGTCTGCCTGCAACAATTCGTGTGTGTTGACCGTGCGGAGCCCAGACTCTGCTGACAACTGCTGCGTGCAAATGTCCATGATCTTCTTGTCGAATGCCTTGAGAGTTGCAAGGCGCGCGCCTCCACATAGTGCAATGGCATTGCGAAAAACCTGCTGGGTGCGCGCTAGCCAGGCTGGGCTCAAGTGCGCGCGGTCGATATTAAGCTCGGGCGTCTCATCGAAGAGGGCTGCGCTCACGAGCTGTGCCTCTGCGCGGAGCGTGCGTGCTGTGCGTGCCTCAATTATGTCCTGGTATTGCTTGTGTGACATGCGAAGTTGCCAGGGAATCCACTTTATTGCCCCCTTTGGGGTGAACCATTGGTGCACTAAGCTAAGCAGGCGTATGCTTGGCGTGCTATCACTATCCAGGTGTTCACCGGGATAGTTGGACCTGAAGCTTGCTTGCATGCGTTGCACGGCCTCCGTGTCTAATCTTGGAGGAGCGTGCTCTGCCCAAACGTTGGTTGCGATGGCTGTGCTGTGGCTGGGCGCTGGTGCAGAGCTTGCTGGGCACGCGTCTTGTGCCCGTGTGATGCTTTGACTCATGTCTAATGCCCTGCGGAGGCGTGCCACCGCAGGGCTGTGCTCTGGATCGGCGACTTGCAGTTGTTCCCATAGGCTCTGATTTTGCTTTGTCACGAAATCTGAAAGGTCTGTGGGGTCCAGGTATGCATAGGCAAAATCGGATACGCTGCATAGCCCTGTGTCGCGAAGTGCTCTCTGCAGGGGTTCTGGGACCTGCACATGAGCCAAGAGGGAGCTCAGACCCTCAACCAACTCCACATCCCATGACTCCATGGTTGCGTTGACTAGACTAAGCTGACGCAGCAAAAAATGGAAGCTTGGGACCGAAGGTAGCTGAGGCGTGTGTGCTCATGAAGTCACCAACACAAGCTGCTTTCCCAAAAGTGCAAGAGAGCAAGGTGGGGCACTGGTGAAGTCGAAGAAGATGGAGCACCTGAGCGGACAGGGCACCACAACAAAACATGTGCGGGAGAGACTTGCAGAACGAGTACTTTCTAGGTCCCTTGCGTGCGAGCTACTACGCATGCTTTGCGTCTGCAAAGTGAGACTGGTTCTTTACACACTGCCACGAAGGAAGCGGCCCCCAACCGGGCTCCGCAACTGGCTTTCAGCTTGCTGACCGAAAGCGATCCCAACTTGGGCAGCGCAAGCAGGTATTCCTGCAGGGAGGCGGGTGTCGGGACATGCATGCTACCCCAGGGGCCACTGCAAACGTATGTGTGCATGCGCGTGTCATCACGCTGCAGCTGTTGTTCTTCGTCTGTGCTTCGCTGTCCGAGTCGGGGGCTGTTTGAGCAAAGAGCTCTACTTCTTCGGCTTCGGAATCGGACCCAGAGACCACAAGTGGCGGTTCCACCTCCGGCGGATCGGCGCCCGGCTTTTGCCGTGCTGTGCTTGCTGCTGCATGCAGAGTCTCATGACGTGACGTGAAAATGCGCCATGGGCCTTGCAGAAGTGCCGGGGCAGGGAGTTCTGTGGAAGGCACCTGTCGCGGAACCGTGAATGGAGGCTCTGGCACAGGGGCCGCTCCCCCTCTGGACATCGATCGTTGGGGGCGCCACCCCTGCGCGACTTGCGCACAGATGTGGCGTTGAACGCGCAGGCTTGCAAACGTGTCATTGCGGCTGCACAGCTTGGCGCTATCTCTGTGGTGACCTTGTGACAGTCTGTCTTCCCTGGGCAGGTGGAGCTGTGCCGCCAGAGCCAACGCAGTGGACTTCATGCTATGCAGCGTGAGTGCGCGAGCTTCTGCAGAGCTAAGCTTTGCTTGCTGAGACAGGCCTGGATCCTGCGCTGCCCATCGCAGGCACAACAAGGCGCGTGCGTAGCTGGCGGGGGCCAAGAAAGATACCGTAAGCGACTGCATGTCTAGGTGCGGGAACAAAAAAATCCGGCTCATGCGTGTGCCCTTCAGTCTCGAAGAGCTTGCGTGGGAGCTGTGCCAGTGCGGACAACCAACGCAGAAGCCTTGATGAGTCTGGGCCCCGGCCAGAAATGCCGTGCCAAGTGCATGCAAAGCGTTGCCCGCGCTTAGTTGTTTTGGTCGCGTATGCGACTGCATGTAGCCCTTGCGTGCTGAGCTGAATGGAGCCCCACTTGACACGTTGGGCGTCGCCGAAGCAAATGCTTGCGTGCGCGCAAAGGAGGGCAGCACCCAAGACCAGCTTGGTAGTGAGCGGCGTGGCGTGCATGCAAAGGACTAGCTCCCATGCCACGATTAATGCCAAGGGCAGAGGCACTGCCTCCTTCTTATCGTAGGAGTCAATTTGTTTTGCGTAAGAGGCTACTAGTGCATTATGCACGCGTGCGGACAAAGCGTGCCATTGCCCGTGCTTTGCAAGCCATCGCAAAGACTTGATCGCTGTGTTGACTGAGGATCTGTGCACTGCTCTGTCCTGTTGCTTGCTTGCGGAGGAGGCATGCAGGAAATCCACCATGAGTGCCACCGGCACCAGAGCAAAGCTGAGATGCTGTGCATGCATGAAATCGATGAATGTCAGGCAACATGCCAAATAACGATAAAGGGTGTTAACGCGTATGCGGCAAGAAGCTGCTGGACATGTGCCTGTGGGCGCTTGCTGGATGCCAGTATGTCGTGCAGCTGGCAGTGCACGCCGATGCGTTGGATGACGTCCAAAAACTGCTCCTGTGACTTCTGACGCCGGGACAGTGCAAGTGAAGCTGCCGTAACCATACGCAGGGCTGCGGAACACACAAGCTTTCAGGGGCATGCTTGGCAAGCTGTGGATCCTTGGGAAAAGTCAACTGCACCGCGAGGATGGAACGGCGTTGGCTTGTTTGAGTGGACACTGGGCTATGCTTCTGCGGGTCCAGCTGAGGTCCGGGCTCGGCTTGCCCCCTACCGGGGGAGACGACACTGAAATGGAAAGCTTTTTGCTAAAGATAGGCGGAGGCTTGGGCGTGCCGGGCTTGTGGGCAGGGTACTTAACTGTGAAGCGAGGCCTGCTTGACGTGAACGAGGCTTGGCGTGGCAAGTCAGAAACCCTGAAAGGCGGATCCCCTAGACGGGGGGTCCCTAGTGGAATGGGCCTGGGCTTCGGTGGAGGCACCTTGCACGTTGCCTGCAATGCTTGCTGAGAATCGGCTTTAGCGGAAGTGGATGCTGCCTCTGAGCCTGACCCGGTTTTTCTTTCACGCTTCACGACACCTGCTGGCTGCGGTTCTTCGCCGTGCCTGCGGATGCTTGCAATGACGCTGTAGATATCAAGTGCTTGCAGGTCCGGCTCTGCTAACGGCTGATGCATCGGATCGTCCTGATCTTGCGCTGGTACTGCTGTCCGAGGACTGGGCTCTTCCTCGCACATCTGAAATTGGCGGCAGCCTATGAATAAACCAGCGCAAGTCGGCGTGAAGATAAAAGTCTGATGCTTGAAGATGTGATCGGGAGCCCGTGTCTAGAAGGCTCCAGACTATGCAAAGGACACGAGGGTGACTAAGCAAGTCCTCTACCGCCTGAGTGCGACCTTGAGCCATGGCAGCTAAGGCAGGGGCAGCCTGTTGCAGTGCGCCTGCGCGAACTTAGCAGGGAGGTTGCCCAAGGCTGAGCTCAAAACTGCCCAGGGAGGATGCCATGACCTCGAAGTAGTGCACCTGGGCGAGTCAGACATGAGCGTGAGGCAAACGCAAAGAAAAAGCTGCAAAGTGGGTTGCAAGCGCGGACTGTCTGCTTTTCTCACGCCTAAGCGGAGGAGGCGGTGCAGTGCGTGCCAAGTGCGTGCAATGCGTGCTCGCTGTGCGAGCGTGCTACTTGCCTGCTCCTTTGGCCAAGCAATGGCGACAGCTGTGCGGGCTGCGCCTATCGTCCAAGATGCGACCACGAGGTTTAAAGTTGCATGCTGGGCGTCCGAATTTGCAGACCGTGTTGGTGCATGCAAGCGCGCAGAGCCACTCACCGGTGCGTGGGTTTTGGTGATATGGCCTGTCACCGGCCCACTTGAGCTTGCTTGCTGGTATCTGCATGCTTGGTTGCGCTTGTGGGTGGGGACGGTGCGATGTCCTGCTGTGCTTGCGGTGTCTGTGCAGGCTGGAAAAAATAATTTGTCCAGTCTGCGTTGCCTGCGAATGGGTCCCATGACCCTTTGCCGGGCTGATGCCACGCATTGCCCCATGATGGCTGCTGCTGGCTGCGCTGGTGCTGTTGCTCTGCGTGCTGCCGGTGCTGTGCTGGCGGGTGTTTGCCCTTGCCGCTGCTGCTGGGGGCGTTGTCCCAGCTGGACCAGTCATCTGTGGCTGTGGCTCTGGGTGCGGCTGTGTCGTGCCTGCATCCCAGTCATAGTACTGCTCCTGAGCAGGTGGGTTTGACTGGTGCTCCTGCTCTGTCATGTCATGCCAGTTCCTGTTCTGGCTGGTGCTTTGCGGGCCCCAGTGTGGGGGTGCTTGCTGTGCTTGCGGCGCTTGCTGGGGAGTCCCGCCTCCAAACTGCCCCTGTGGGTGGATGGGGTCTGACATGGCCGGCCTATCACCATCCGGCCAGGGTGCTTGCTGGGCAGAAGTGTTGCTTTGCTGGCGAGTTGCGTGCTGTGCTTGCTGTGTGGGTGGTGGCCCTCAGCGGAGGATACGTTGCAACCTGGCCCGCACAATGGGGCGGTTTTGCAGAGCCGTGCAAATTTGTGAGTCGGTATGCCCTCCGAGTATGATGAGGGCTGCATCCGCGGACATGTCTTGATCCATGGAGCGAAAGAGCTTAGGCACCACGACTTAGAAGCTGTGAAATCCAAGGCGAGTGCTAGTCAAAGTGTCTGCGCAAGAGCTTTAAAAACATGTGAAGCCTGCGGCATGCTGTCTTGCACAAAGGCCTAGTCTAAGCTGGCTTTGAACCTGCTTGCGGCATGGGCTCAACCACTGCTTGCGGAGACGGGGCCAGGTGCATGCCCAAAAATGGTGCAAGATTGCATGCTGAGTGCGGCGCCTTGCGGTGACTTGCGGTCTGCGTGGGGCGTGACCTGGCAAGCTCAAGGTAGAAGTGCGTCTACCGTGAACAAATGGCACAGCTGGCCTGCTTGCTTGCGAAAAGGAGGGTGCCTCAGCGGCACCCCATGGGTCCAAAGCAAGTGTTTGGAAAGTGGCTTGCGAGCCTGGGGCTCCAGCAATGCGTGCTGGCAAAGCCTGCGGGCATCGCCTGCGGCAACATGCGGAGCGATTAAGTCCTCGGTGGATGCGTGCCAGCCTCGAAGGAAACGGCTCGAAGGACCTGACAGGTGGGGGCAAGGAAGCATGGACCAAACCAAGAGAGGTGCACATGTTGAGGCCTGCCTAGTCAGCTTTGGTTCAAAAGGTGCGTGCCAGTAAGTTGCAAAGCATGACCTATGCGGCGCTGAAGTTGCACGTAATCTGACCTGAGCTGCGCCTGGCGATCTTGGACATCCTGAAGGCTACGCTGTGCTTCTCGCAGGTCCGCGCTTGTGTCTGTAATGCGAACATGTGCGTTGAAGTTGCTGTTGTCAAGCTCGTCTGCCTGCTCTCGAACCTGTGTGACCCTTCTGTCAATGTGGGAAAGATGCCTCTGGGCTTCGTCCACGCGGTGCTGCAAGTCGTTAACACCTGTAAGCAAGGTCCTTTGCGATGCCTGCAACGCGTGCACTGATGCTTGCAGATCATGCAGAGCTGCAAAGACATCTGTCAGAGTAGTGCCCTGCGGAGCATGCGTGTAGGGCCCGGGTCTTCCTGACGAACCTGAAGCTGAGAAAGGAAGTGCCTGGCTTTCTGCGAGCGGAACTATTGCTAAAGTGGATGCTGCACTTGCTTGCAATGCCTGCTAGTCAGCGGTCTCGTCCTGTGTTGAGTTGACAACAATAGGCTCATGTCCAAAGAACCTATGTCCAGAACCGATGCCGTCCATGAAGGCACGGAAGGAAGTATTTCTGTATAAGAACAGGGAACACAGAAGACTACAAAAGGTGCGCTGCAAGGCGTGTACATGACATGTGCTGAAACTTCCGTGCTCACTGCTCAAAATGCTGTCTGGGCCACGCTACGGAAAGTATGAACATGATGCAAGCATAGGACAAGCTATTCCAAAACATGCATGATAAAAGAAAAACATGCTACGTGCTTTGCACTTTTTGTCTTTGCCACAGGTTTAGGGCTCAGGTTGGTTGGTAGAAAACGGGGCAATGTGGGGTCATCTGCCGACCGCTCTGAGGCGTGTTGGATATCTCCTTTCTCTCCTTCTCCGTTGGACGCCTGGCCCTGGGCCCCCTAGCAGGGCCACACGTGTTACACCCTCCTCTGACTTGACTGGGAAGAATCTGCCAGAGACAAGTTCTGTGCACCCATACAGTGCTGGAAGAGCGCAGGAAATCGCCGCATCGCAGCACGGTTGCTCCATAATGGGTTTAGGGTTTAGGGTTACCATAATGGGTATATACAGTAAATAATAGGGTTTCCCAAATACAGCCTGGGTCCCTGATGTCAGGGCAACTGTGAGCAGACATGGACGAGCCTCGGCGCACTTCAGCTCACAACATTATTGCTGCAGATTTTGTCGGGCGGGCCCGGGGCCCCAGAAGATTAGTGAAGGCTATGCTCACGCCGGCTCGCGGTGCTGCAGCTTCTGCCATGCGGGCTGCACATACGTGACTCGACAGTTAGCCTGTTCAGAAACAGTTGCGTTCATCCCAGACTAGTCCGTTACGCATGCTACATTAGGAAGTGCATGTTACCTACAGACAGAAAGGAAACATGCAAATGTACACTCTCTCTTTTTGGCTCGGTTGGCAAAGCAGAAAAACGAGTCCCTAAGCAAGCCCTACAGACGGAGACAGGTTGACCTACGGGCAGTGCTGCAGGGACAGATCGAATTCTGATGCCTGAAAATCCGACGGCGGACAGAGCAGCTTTGCGCCAGCTCATCGGAACGCGGAGGACACAAAGCAACACAACCAGAAGTGCAGACAGGAGAGGCGCAGATGACCGAAGCATAATAGCCAATAGGTCATCAACATAAATCTGGGCGGAGTGACGGACATGCCACAGGCGGTGTGTAAGGCGCACCAGCAGGCCTGCAACTCTGTTCCAGTAGAACCCGGAAGCACGGGCACCGAAGTTCAGCGTGACGGACTGGTACAGGACGTCACGATGACGGAAGCAGAGCGAAGAAGACGAAGAGTGGATGTTAATCGAAGATGACAGGAAAGAAGAAAGTACGGAAG